GAGGGTTTTCTTCGTTGTAATGTTGGTATGAAAGGTAAGGAAGATAGCAAATACTTAATCTTTTCAGTCCTTCATTTCAGATACTTTTTTTCCATTTATGAGTTTCCTTTAGTTCCTGTTCTAATACTGTTCTTCTTTAAAAATCTTCTATTCCTCAACTCCTCTCCATTTTGCTGCCCCCAGAGTGTTGATACTGCTTATTTTGTTATTAAACTCTTCCAGGGGAATTTCTAAGCATGAACTCAAGATGTGCATTTACCTTGTTAAAGGACCTCAATTAATATTTAAAATGTAATTACTTATACTATTTAGACATACTTAAAATTTTGACTTGATGTGTCAAGTCTGCTGTTTCATGCAAAATTTATGACAAGGATTAAAAAACTAAGTCGTTGCTCTGACTGATTTCTCAGTAGGTGATCTGAAAATTGCCTGGCTGCTTGCTGTTTGGATTTGTTAGTTGCCGTTGAAACTAATGTGCGTATCTAAGGTCATCTAAGTAGCCCTGTGGTTTTTCAAAGGTAGCAGTGACCTGAGAAACGCCCTGGCCTTGCTGGGGTTTAGGGCCTGGGGTGCAGGGTCTGGCTAAGGCGGGGATGAGATACGCTCTACAGCCGCTGCTGTGCCCTGGAGTTTCTACATACCTTCTCTCACAGAGACAAAACCAGAAAAAAATTAAAACTTCCAGTGAAGTGTGCAACGAGCCGGTAGCTGGGAGAGCTGTGGGTGAGCAGTACACTAAGTGGTTTTGCTGCAAAGAGCTCTGCAGAGACAACAGAAGAGGCAATCTTCTTTTTTTTTGTTCATTCATTGTTTTTTGATCACTATGCTTAATGGTGCTGAGAGATTTCATTGACCCAGATTTTGCTCATTATCTTTTAAGATCAAGCTGATAATTTCACCAGTGTGACTATTCCAGAACATTATGCAATCTGTGTGCAGTTGTCCTCTGTGTCAAGATGAGTCTGTGCTGTTGGCAGACTGTTAGATTATACTTTTTTCATCTCTTCAGTGCAGCCATGATAAAATAGTAACTGAAGGTTTCTCTTTGTATTCTATTACTGTATGTGATTAGATCAAATTTCAGAAGATCCTCTTCTGGCCCCTGCTTATCTTCTTCCAGTCCTTGATCTTTGGACATCTTTTTCTTACTGTATCTTCATCTCTTTTTCCTTTGTTTCATTCGTGTGTCTGTCTTTTGCCAGTGCCGTTTATCAGTTATGTGGAGATCTTTGTTTTTAATCTTTTGTTTGGTTATTTGTACAGCCAGCTTCCTTCGTATGCCACTTTGGTCATCCTTTATGTGCATTAAACTGGGAGGCATACGTGCCGTCGTGCGGATTTTGAAAGCTCTCAGGGTTGAGCTGTAAGCGGGGCTGCTGGTGGCTTTGTTCTCCAGCAGTTCCCTACCTACAGCCGTGGATTCCACTGCGCAACCATCCACAGTGCAGAGAGCAACAGGTGGGTTGCAGAAGAATGAGAAACTTTAGTGCCTAGAAGCTTATTTTTGCGTTTGTCTTTCAGGAAAGTATTTTTGCTGTCAGGAGTCACAAAGACAGAATTTAGATAAAATCATTCTGGACCTTATTGAAGGAAGAGTGCTACCGTATCGGTTAAACTAGGACCTGTGTCTTCTAATAAATTCTTCCAAATTCCTTTTGTTCTTTAATTAGGAAAGCCCACATGATGAATTAACAGGAGGACCAGTACCGTTCAGATATTTAACTTACCCCTTTTTTGTGGTTGAATTTTACATGTTTTCAAACAATTGTGTATTTGCCTCCCAAAAATAAAGAATTAAACCAATATTTTACCACTTGGAACAATATGAATTAAAACCAGATTAGGAAAAATATTAATTTAGAAGTGTTTGGGGCTGTAAAAACATGTGTTTACTTTTGTATATTGCTCTTTCTCAAAGGGTGTTTGTGCTTGTTTTCTTTTCTGCAGAGATGAACAGGTGAATGGAAAACAGATGTGATTTTCTTTGCTTTACTACTGGCTCTAGGAACAGAAAAGTTGAAAGGCTATTAAAATCCCCTCAAATCTTTGAGGCTGCACAATGTTTTCTTGACTATAAAAAAAAAAAAAATTCACCCAAATAATTGTTTATTTCATGTTGAAAGTACCTGGAAGCCTATCCGGTGGTCCGGTGTTGTGTGCTGCGAGCAACGTGTGAGTTCTGAGACTGGTGCTCTTGTCTCATAGCCACGGGCAGGGAGGCACGCAGCCACTGTGCCTGAGCGGGGCGCTTAAATGGGAGTTGTGGTGAATTCCCGCTGTGGACGCCAGTGGAGTCATGGGGGGTTTATTCAAAATACCTTGAAGTCTTCGTATAGGTTTGGGTAAGCCTGGGGAGACCAGTCAGAGTGAGGGGAAAGATGTATTTAAGTGAACAATTTGTGCACTGAAGTCTTCCTTTTGGTGGGAATTTGTCCTGCAGCTCTCCTAGGGATGCTGCAGTATGCCCTCTCGCTCAGCACTGGTGTGCCTCAGGCTGGTCCCCTCCTAATGGAGTGACGTCTACAGCACTCAGCTCGTAATAGGGATGCGAAGTCCTCCGGCTGTCCAGTCTCTGCGTGAAAGGTGTGTGCAAGGGACCAGCCGGCGGTGCACACTGTTGCTGGTAAAGATGTGACGTGCACTTGTGGTCCTGGAAGCATGTTGGATTGCAGCAAATTAAACCCTGGACCTTCTCTGTGCGATGTGGGGCGGTGGTGTAGAGGCACCCTGATGGAGGGGGTTGCTCAGCACGGTCAGCCTTCCCAGCTTATCGGTGAGGCCTTTCCAAGCTTCAGGTACAGAAACTAAACTTCAGCACTAGGCCTTCAGTTTTGGTACCTTAATTAATGAAATGCTTTGTGCGTCTGAGAAGTAAGCAATCAAGCTGAGCATAGTTTCTGAGGGGAAGGGCTGCTGTGGCTGACTTCATAGCAAAGTCACTTAGAAAATCCGAAGGTGCGGTGGCCTTTCAGATAAAGCAGATAACGGGGACCTTGGGGTAGGACAAACTGAAGGTTTAAGTGGAGTAGGAAGTTGGTGTGGGTATGAGTGTCTTCAGACGTGAGCAGGCATGCCCAGACTCTGCGTACAGGCGTTCCCACAGCACTTCTGTCTGCACTGGCCACAGTCTTTTCTCTCTGGTGCCTAAGCAGCAGGTAAGAAATTAGAAAGGTCAGCAACACATTTCTTACGCACTGAGAAGTGTCGAACTCTGCTGAGCTTGGTCCCACTGCCTTCGTCAAGCGCTCTGTTTCCTCCCAAACTAACTGCCCACACCAACAGCCCTGGATGAGAGAGAGAGAGAGAGGAAGGTAGTCTTTGATCTGTGGTGCTGTTGGGGGCTGCCAGTGGCTAACACCCTGCCCAGCTCTCTGTCCTGGGCATGGGCAAGTCTCTGTGCTCAGGGATCCAAATCCAGAGAGGACTTTGCTTGGCCTGTTGTGGTGAGGGAGGGGAGAGTAAATGTTTTGCTTGGTGTGCCAGATTTTTATCCTGCCTCTGAAGGCAATTTTGCTCTTGGTATGAGCTCTTCCAGTGCCTGTGAGAAGTCTTGGGCTGGCTCTTCTGAGTCCGAGTCTGACAGTACCATGGATGAGAGGCAAGGAGTCTGCTCCATCAGTAGAGCTAAAGGGGCTAAGATGAGACTAAGGCATGCTTTGCCTGGATGCACCTGACACCATGAGGTTGATGCACCTTGCCTCAGACAGAGGAAACTCATGAGGAAAGGTTTAAAAGGATGGGGATGGAACAGGAGGAACTGAGGGTTATCCATGTAATGATTTCTGTCAATCACCCAAGCTGTGCCCATTCTCCTAGTTGTATACATTCTTCAAACATGTAAGTGATGCTAGTTGTTTTCTATTTAAAACACGGTTTATGATCAGTTACCTTGAATGAAAGCTGGTTTCATTGGCCGACTTTTATTTTTGTATTAAATGACTCTGGAAGATAAAAGTTGAGAGAATTCAACCTTTAGCTCTTTTATAGTAGCTCTAAATTATTGATGAGTTCTACGTTACTCCTCCAAACTTGTCACTTGACTCTGCTTCTGAAACTATTTCCCTACATTCTTGTTTGATGGCATACAAAATATTATGGGTTTCTTGTGGCAAACTGTGCTGGCATAGCAGAAGCATGATGTGAACTGATACAACAATTTTCTGTTTTTTTGAAACTTATTTGTTAAACGTGTCTCGTGAAGCAAACTGTGGCGAGAAGCACTTGTGCATCGTTTGGATATTGCCTGAGTAGCGAGATCCTCATTGTTTGCGGTAATTGCCTTCTTTCATAACTCCTGCAAGGGGAATGGAGAATTCAACTTCCCAAACTCAGTTCAGTGTGATCATACTGTTCTCTAAATCAGTGTTTGTTGGAGATGCTAGCACTCTCCCCTTCCTGTCGGAAATTATATCACTGTGTTAGTTGAATATATATTCAACAAATACATGAATGTATATATGCGCTTGAATATATATGTTGAATGTGTATTCATATACAGTCTGTTGCACAGACACATTTTAGTAAGTGGGTTGTTAATTCATAGATCAATAAATCATATAAGGAATAGTAGAGCTGTGCAATTCTCATGAAAAATGTTATGAATGCAAGCTGTTACTGTTTACCTGAGCATTACAGTCAAATGGAAACATACCTTTTGAGCTTCTGGTTTGACTGTAGGCCACAGCGGGAAGGTGGGGTTGAGTGGTGCAGAAAAATCAACAGCAATAAATAACAATTAGAGAAGGAAGCTAGTCAGAATGAGATTTGACAAAACCTGTCTGAGGGGAAAAAGTGAAACAAACGTCTCGTGGCAATTTACTCTTAGCTCCACTTTCATATGTGGTTGTAGGCTGGGTAAGGGAATGCATGATGGTGAAGGTGAAAAGGTTACAAGGCAAGGAGGTTGCTGCCGTTTAAGAGGACAGATGATAGAGAAGGAAGGCAAAAAAGAGCCAAGAATTAAAGCTGGAGAAGAGGACAAACGGTAAAACTGGAGAATGACGGAAAGACATGCACCTAAAGCAGCAGCAGTTGGAAATGGTAAAGCAGGAGGTGTGCAACTGAGATTGTGAAGAAGAGGGAAGCTTTGTTGTCTGACTAGCACCTCGAGGAAAGAAGAAATTAAGCAGGAGAGAGATGTCATAGATTGTGGTTGCAAAAATTCGTGCAGAAACCCTGGTGTGAGAGGAGGAACAACTGTGAGCACTGGAAGGGGCAGTCCTTGAGGGAGCAAGAGTGGGTACAAGGGCGCCTGTGTGCAAGGAAAAACAGGGCTGGGAATAGCAAAAGAGCCAGAGATCCTGAGAACGTGGTTCAAAACTGCCAGGGTGCAGTGAGGGCTGGTGGTTTCCTGGGGACTGGGGGCTTCAGGAACCCCCTGGCCCCAGGGCTGGCAGCCAGACGCAGGCAGCCAGGGGCACTGGGGCATCCCCAGCCCCGGACGTTGGGCACCTCCCTGGGCACGGGGCTGCAGCTGGGACTGGACATCAGCCCGTGAAGGCATAGGGGTCAGGGTCAGACTCAGCCTTGTGATGGCAAGGCAGGACCATGGTGATGTGCATCGCTACAGAGAGTTGCTAGAGAGTAAAAGGGGGAAGGCAAGATGAGTGATTGTGGAGATTTTGCTGAATATGAGAAGTCAATTAAGTGTCATAAACATCCATAGGTTCTGTTACTCTCTTGTATTTGTTGATGTATACCACTATCTTCAAATATTGTTTGAAAGTGGTTAGAATGTGTAAACAATTAGAAATGTGAGATAAAAGTATAGTGGTAAGATTTGTAGCTTCAGGGGCTGTATAGTGATGTTGCTCTCCCTGTTTATCAATATCTGTGTCCTACCATTGCATTTGATGCCTGATGGTTTGCCAATATAGAAAGAGAAAATAGTTTTCTGCATAGTATTTTCCTTTTCTTTTTGGTAAATAATATTTCAAAGTTATGATAAACTGTGCTGCTTGTCATCTGGAAATCAGGAGATTGAGCTTTAATATTCAATGTTAGCGTTATTCTTTTATCATTGCATTAATACATCTCCCCAGATGCTCTTGCTCTAGCAAATTTCCCTAAATGTGGTGCTTGGAAGCTGGTCGTGCATTTATGTGTGGTGTGAAATTGCGGATATTCCTTCAGGCATGATTTTACTCAGAGAAGTTCTAATATCATTAATAATGTATAACTGTAACAAGTTTACATTAAAAGCAAGCCATAGACTAGGTCACTTCTAATCTGCCCAGTAATTCCTATGTGGCAATTAGTATTATAATAAGTATGTAAAAATGATGGGCGGTGGGAAAATATACATGCACTGAATTTTGAGAGGCTAAGATAACCTTTTGATTGATGACATGACCCGGTTCAATTCAAATTGCTTACTCTGGCATGGTATTAAAAATCGGTTTTCTGTACTAAAGCTCACACTATTGCTGTAAGAGAAGAACAGCTAATGGATGTTAAGTAAAGGAAAAGTGTAAGAAAAATTTCTTACTTCAGACAAAGCCATTTCAGGTAATCGTGATCGCTTGGTGTTGCAGCTGTGGCTGTGTCTCTCTGGGTCACTTTGGGCAACTTTACTGTGTATGAGCAGACCTTGTAAGTGGGACGTGCATCTGAAGAGTACAAAGCAATTGTTTATCGGTTAGCAAACTTAGAAGACAGGTAGGATTTAATGAACTCCTAGGCTAGGTGTCGGCGTGCGTCCTGTCCCTGGCAGGACACCTGAAGAGTCTTTGCTCGCCACGCAGCTGTGAATGAGGTGGAGGAGGACCACCCGTCGCTTCTCTCTTAAACAGGTCTTCATGCCTGCAGGGTTGCTGTCTGCCACCTGCTTCCTTTTCTTCTTTGGGATTTGATGCCTTTCCACATTGGTGTTTTTCCTCTTGAATCCTTAAGCTGGTAACAACTCCAGTGTCACCAGTCCTACCTGTGTTTGTGGTTTTACCTTTACGATCTTGCACGGCCCTACTCTGCGAGTTCTCTGAGGTCTTTCTTGTAGCTTGGGAATTTCCTTAGAAGTAAGCCTGAGGCACGGTGGCTCTGCCGTGTCAGAGCTAGACCTTGGCCCACAGCAAGCTGGACCTCCCAGAGGGAGGTAACACAGCAGAAACCTTAAACGCTGAGGTCACATATTATCAGACATCAGATGACGAACTTAAATGAAATTAATTATTATTGACATTTGAAGTGCCGTGGTCGATGATTTGAGAGTCTTATAGAGGTTTAATTTTTTTTTTTTAAAGAAGTTGCAAAAGTTGATTTTAATGCTGAACTTTTGCTTTGTGGGAGCACTGCTGTTAAAACTATTTCAGATGTTAATAATGTGTTATGAGAAATGCGGTTTGAACAGGCAGCAAACACCACTCCTGGCCTTAAATACTCAGGTCACAGCTCCTGCGAATCTTTTGGAAGATTTTCCAAATACGTAGCCCGCAATTGTACTTTCTTCTGTTCTAGGTAATGGGCCTCATCATGATCGAAGTTGTGTTTATGACCAGAGCAATATAGTAGATGGAGTTTACTGCCTCCCAATAGCACACTGGATTGAAGTCTCTGGACATACTGATGAGATGAAACATACAACTGACTTCTATTTTAATATTGCAGGACATCAAGCTATCCATTACTCCAGGTAAAAGAAAAGTGCAGGGCTTGGCTGATGTCAACATTAATATGTACCGACATAATGTCAGCAAACTTTGAATTTGAAGTGGTGAATGGTGGTGTGTATGCAACAGCAAAGTTTGACAAAGATTTGACACCTCTTTGCAATTAAATGTCTCTTTTGGCAATAAAAAGGAGACATTCCGAGTTCAAGGATCCCTGCAGCCTGTACAGATGTGCTAAATTGCATCACATCTGAAAATGACTAGTGGTAATTTATGGATAAATTTATAAGGAACTGTCATTCTCAAGTGCTTGTCCGCATACACATGTAAATATGCATTTATGCACTGTGTTTGGTTTGGGATTATTTTGCTGAAGAACATCTCCTGGGAAACAAAAAAAATATATTCCAGCACCAGAACTTTAGGGCGTTAGATTATCGCTCATGTGCGGCTGCAACTGCAATCAGTGACAGCTGTTACAGATAACTTCGGCTTCTGTGCATGCATTTAAAAAAAATACTAAAGCTTAGACAAGTCTTAAAATGTTTGTGCTTTTGTGGTGTTTACTTTAATCCACTGCCTCACCAGTGAAGCATCCGGGCCTGAATTAGGAGATGGTAAAGCTAAAGAGAAGAGGGCACCCACCCTTTAGGCCTGCAGATAAAGCACAGGCTATATTTAGAGCAGCAGCCTTAGCACTGGTGGCTAACAAAGTGGCACTGAAGAATTTGGGACCATCTGTATCTTTTTCCCCATCTCCAGTGATGGATGTGGCAGCAAGGTTGTTGATTGATAGTGGTTGCATGAATGCTGGCAGCCCTGATATGCCACGTGCAGCTGGTGTTGGTTACAGAGCAGTTAGTGATCCCAAAGGGGTATGTATTTTTTTAAGGAATTAAACTACCTTGTACTTTCGTTAGGTCTGAGCATTGCTTTGTGTGAATTTCTCCAGTTTACCGTTTCAGCTACACCAGCCTAACCATCTCGTCTCCTCATTCTGCTCTTTTGTCCGCACCCTGCCACAGGATAGGAAGCAGAATTGTCTTTTTCTTGTCAGAGTTGTGGTGAGTGAGGGAAAGATTTCCTTCTCTTGGTATCTTTTGGAATAGTATGGATTCATAAACACTGTCGGGCATATGTAGCTGTTTGTGTGGCTTAGTACCTTTTCCCTGAGACCCCCTGAAGCTATATAATATGCCTGACAGACTATACTGTTATCTGTATCTTAAGCATCCATTTCCAACACCTTATCAGAGAAAAGATCTTGTTTATTCCAAAGCACACATTTGTCAATCCCAATAATCTTCGCTTGGCAGAGGAAGTTTGTCAGAAAGAAGAACAGCTGTCAGCAAGTGAATATCTAAGCACCAAAAGCTAACTTATCTTCCTTTCCAGAGGCAGCAGTGATCCATTTAATACCGCCTTATCTGCATCACTGTATGTTTCCAAGGTTATGTAAGAAGCTGCAGATTCCACTAAAGAATATTTGGAGAAAATTTTCTGAGTTGTATTCCCCTCTTGCACACACATACCTTTGTTGCAAGGCAACCTTATATGTACAGCTTCAGTAAGTAACTCTTATCTCGTTTCTTTGAGCTATATTAAGTGAGCATACCCCATAACAGTTCTGTTGCATAATTATTCTTAATCCTTTGAAGATATGCAGCCTTGAATGACTTTTTAATTATTAACAGCTGGGGGCAGATTCACCATTCTGCTGGTTATAACAAAACAGCCCGAAAATACTGGCTAATTAAGATTTTCTCTTTTTTTTGGCAGAGTGGCTGAGTTGGTGAAAATGCCTTTATTTTGTAATGGATTTATTGCCTCGGAAGGGTAGTACGGAGATGAATATCACCAAAAAGAAAAAAAAAACAAAACGCAAAAAAAGCCCAAAACAGAAGCAAAGAGCCAGTCCCTCTGCTTGTACAGTTAAAAGCTCTGTGTATGGTCAGGTCGTAGTTATCCAGCTAAGGATACTCTTTTCCGCGCTGTAACGGAGGTGACAGCACTGCAGGGAGTTTTACGAGCACAAATTCTGCATCCTGTCACCAGCTGTAGGATCTTTACAGAGCAGTGGTGGCTGGAAAGAAGTGATTTATCAGTGAAAACTTTTGATGTGAGCCCCTTCTCTGTGTTGCTCCACTTCTTAATAGGATCGCCGTGCGCGAATTAGGTGGAGAGGAAAGTTTATCTCTGTCACAATGGGCTCCTGCGGACTGGTTTTACTTGTCGTCTGTCTCATCGCAAGAATTAGAAACAGTTGCTCTGAGCTTCGCTACCACCTTGCTTCTTCATGAAACATGTGCTTAAACCTTAAATGGGCTGCGGCAGGATGGGGAGAGCCTGCTTCCTGCTGGTGCCAGAAATCATTCGGAATCATGCTGGGGCTGATGGCAATGCTCTGAGGAATCAGATTTTTCTTGTTTGGTAGGGATGTATTCACTCATAAATCAGTGAATTTGTGTTTAAACTTAGAGAGCTCGCTTTGTGTTGGTCATTCAGGTTGGAGTGCGTATGATGTGTTTAAGCATAGCAGGATTTTAAGTAATTTTCTTCAAGTGTGAAATGGAGCTTGCCTGCAGGTACAGAGTCATGACTGATACCTCCGTGGCATCAGCATTTACTTGTTTTGAACATGTAATGACACATGTCACAGAAATCCAATTCAGGAAAAAATAACAGTCCCTTTCTCTCTCGTGTTAGACATTACTACATTAAGATGCCTTCAAATTGCAGGAGAGTTCAGATACGACACAGTAATTTCCCAAAGCGAATTAGAGCTATTGTAATCTTTTCTGGGAGAAGATGACTTCAGAAAATTTGTAAGTCTGGTGCAGGTTAGCTCTATTTCAGCTTCATCTGTGAAAGGTGGAACTTCCTGATTCATAGGTGTTACATACCTTATTATTTATATAAAATCTTCTGCAATTCTCAGAAGAAAGGCATTGCGTAAGAGCAAGAGAGGGAGTGTCACCTGAAATTACAAAATCCTTAAATAATATGCTGGAGACAGTGGTGCTTGATGGCAGAATTAGGTGCTACGGGAAAGAATATCACCAAGAGGAAAAGCCGTCTTGTTATAGTTTGCTATTTTCAGACTAATTTTAGGTTCCCGAATCCACCCCTGATGAGTAGTGAGTTCCCATAGTTTTTGCCTACTCATTTGAATACGGTGTATGACCACTACCTCTTCATTTTAGGGCATATACTTTGAGGCCATCTATGGTGTCTCATATGTTTTAGTAATGTGTTTCAAATTTACTGGCTTCAGAACTGTAATTTTATTCATTGTGTGTGCTTTTTGTGCATCATATCTCCTGACTCTGATGAATAAAAATATTATTTACATGCTTTGCATGTGAAATGCAGCTAAACTGGATTCCGTTAGTGAATCTTTAATTGAAGTATTGTTACAGCTGCTAAACATTCTAGAGGAAAATATACAATCACCTTTACATGTAAAAGAATGTAATGGAGGAGTCACTACATGAGAGTAGCCATGGGTCCTGAGAACAATTTTTTTGAGGTACAGTTTTTGTAGTAGCTTTTTTGCACTTAGGTATCAAGGTCGTTAAATATTAGTATTTCATGTTTATGGAGCGGGTGGATGTTCCTGCAACTGGACATAATCCAAGAAATTGTGACATTGATGAATGTATTGCTATCATCAGTGTTTATGTCCCTAATTTTTTCTGTAAGACAAAATAAAGCGAAAGATAGAAAGAAAATAAACCCTTGTACTTGGAAATACTATTTTTGTTTGTTTGTCTCGTGATGGTTGCAAATTAAGCTTAATTTATGGTGTAGTTTTTACAAATGCTTTGTAGCTTGTTGGTAAGACAGTTTCATTCAACGCTGCCATAGTAATGTAGGTTATAACCTAAGTTAAGTGTTAAGTGGGGATGATCAGGAGATTCTCTGGAATATGTGCTCCTCGTTTTTACTACAACGTTAACATAGATAGGTGAGTGGATGAGGAATGATCCAGGGCAAAATCCAGATGCTTCTTATTTAGCTTCTGGAGGCACTAAAGCAGTATTCTGCTGATGAGCACTGAGTTTCCTTTTGTCTGTAGTAATTCTCCTGTGAAGAAAATCAACATTTATATGATTGATATGCATCTTTAATTGAAGTGAAAAACAGAAAGCTGGTTGAGTATATTTTTGTGTGAGAATCACTGGAGACGGTAAATAATGTAACTTCTGTTAACTTACTTGAGTCGTATGAGGCATGATTATTGCTGTTTGAGTGTTAGAACTCTGCTGGGGTTGATGAATGTAAAGATATACTTAAAGACGTCTGTGGTAGGACTCAGTTTGAGATAAAGATGACTAAATTCCTATGTTTGTATACAGCAATTCAACTCACTGGCGACTAGATGTCTGCTTTAGAGTGAACTGAAGAATCGCATTGGTCTCCATACTCCACTGACGATGCTGATGAGATCGATATTGATTTATAATGAGACATTAAACATCCTGTCTGATTGCTTGAATGTTGATGTCTAGTGTTATTTGAGATGCTCTGGAGTTTACTGTCTGTCCTCCAGCTGCTGCACTACAGGAACATGGTTTCTTATAGCTCCTTGGCCATATCTGTGAGCCCCATCCAGATGTTCGAGATCCTATAAGACGTCTCAGATAATGGTGGGAAGCTGTACTTAGGCAATGCATTGAGAATGGACGCGCCTGAAGCCACCCGTTTGTAGATAACCAGGGCTAGGTGTCTTCATCTCGATCTTGTATTGCATCCCTAGCCTATATTAATGAATAACATCTATCTGAGTTTAATATGAAGTTAGAATTACCTTTGAATTATGTAGCTGGAAACAAGAGAGAGTGCTTTTATTTATTTTTACTCTTTCACGTCTCTTCTGACTTACTAGTTTTAATACATTCACTAAATAAAATGCCCTTCTGTTTGAAGTGTAATTCTGAAGTAATTTTTTTATTGGTGAATTATAAAAAAAACTTTGAAGAGGAAGCTGTCACAAAAGAAACCCTGGAGTGCAATGAACTAT